TTTGTAATTGTTTATGATCGTTTATGAATGGATTGCGGATTTTTACGTAATTTCAAATTTTTACGAAGGCTGCCGAATAAATGGAACTTGTATAGTAAATTTGTTTCGTCTACTAAAAATTATGACCCAACTTGGTACGTTTTATATACTTTCGCACGTTATGTATATGATAGTGGCAGCTGCAGTTTTATATTTATATGGATGTTATATGGATATTCGGGGAATCGAGCAAGCTGCAACGATCGAGAAAATGCAGACACGTTGTTTGAAACATCTACCGAATGTTCCAATGGATACTGCTAATTATCTGGTACGTTACGAAACAGGCAGAATAAAGCTGGAAAGTGTAATAATAGAAAGATCACATAAAGATCAGAAACATAAAGATCAAAATATTTCCTGAGAAAATATGTCAAATGGATGAGAATAGATTCCCTTGGAGGCGCCTAACAAAATTGAACGAGCTGGGTGGAAACAAAAATAACCCAAGGAAGTACAACTGGTATACATTAATAAAGGAGAAACATGCAGGAATAAAGAATGCAGAGATGTTAGAATTAAGTGAACGCGAGGAGATACCTCGTCGAATAAAAAAATATATAGAACAGAGTGGAAGTTAAAATATTCATAGAAGATGGACTAAGATCACTTGCTTCGAGATGTTGTTCGATACATAAGTGTGTTATGGGTCTGACAGACAAAGATTTCGATTCGACGATTGCTGAATTACAACTGGCAGGAAGACATAAATTCAATAATGGAAGAAAAGAAAGAAAGAATTAAGATAAGTGACGCGGATGATTCTCAACTATGCAATCTGAGAAGAAAGGAAACATTAAATCATATCGTATCTGTGAGCTCCAGTATCAGCAAGATTATGCGTAAAAAGATTATTAAAAAGGATATCCTGAATTGTGAAATATTAGAAATGTAAAGGAAGTAAGAAATATATTCCACTTTGTGCAAGAGATCATAAAAATGAGAAAATTAATGCTAATCGAATCGTAACAAAAATGAAGTTAGTACAATGAAGTGTGTATGTGGATATATTGGGCGTGTTTATGTGTGTTAATGGTTATATATATGTCGGAGTCAGGTTGGCATTTTACCGTCGCGAATGTAGCTAATATTTATCAGTACGAATGTGGATACTACAAGAGGCTATGAGTAATAGCAATAGGATGTTCGAGATAATGGTGACAACGAATTCAGGTTCGATAACGAATCCACAGGAGGACAAGTATCAACGTACTATTCGATTCGGATAACTTCTCGACAACTCAATCAGTAATTCGTCCAACGACTCACTAACAAACTAACCCTTTTCATGCAAAAGAAATTGTCCTTATATACTCCTGTCCTCGCTTTTCGGGTCAATCTTCGTTTTTAAGGAAAGCCATATAATCATTTTATACCTCTGTCAGGTACACGTTCCTCCCGTGACCGTGGCTACGTCCAGTGACCCGTTATGTCACTTCGAGCCCGAACCCATTGTCATAAAGTCAGATTGGAACATTAAAACTATTTCTTATTTTTATTATTTAAGTGCAGCTATAGTAAAAGTCTGGACTAGGGTATTGGGGATTTTCCCAATATTCCGGACGGGATGTCCCGATGTTCTTTCATCTCCGACATATATATGTACGAGATACGTAGCGGACATGAATAAGCTCTTTTGTAATAGGCTGAAATACGAATATACTTATACTGTACTATACCATATTATACTTTATTATATTACACTATGTTATATGTAGATTTATAGAAAATTTGACAGAAAATCCACAGAAAAATATATGAAATATTAAAAGTATAGTATTTCCTACAATACGTGGCAAGTAATATAATTTTCTGTCGAAGCCCTATTTGTACAGTTATATTCTCGGAAATATGAATTTGCATAAAAATCTGCTGTCTAATTATGTAGTTCATAGACTTTTTCATATACGATTTTATCATAAATGCATAAAAATCCGTGGCCTAATGACAAATTAATTGTTCTGACTTTACAAGAAAACTCCCTCCCTCGTGTATCGATCAGGAAGATACATGTGTTGACCACTTCTTTATTGTCACTCCGTAATGTTGATTGTTCGATTTTATAAACAAAAGAAGGCAAGCATCCGAGATGAATGTTAATGGCGATAAGGATAAAATATGATACTCGGCTGTGAAGGTAAATTTAGAGAAACTGCATCGACCTTTGATCTTCCATATCAGAAAGTAAATCTTGTACCGTAAATAATAATATACATATAATAATAAAATAATAATAAAGAAAATAATAAAATAATAATAAAGAAAAGATTTTCCCACAGATTATACTGTTCGTACCGTTAAGTTCTTAAGAAAATTTGTTAAGTTTCCTATATTTTATATATGAGCGCTTTAGAAGGCCTATTCAATCGTATCCTTTGTAAATTTCTCATTTCTTTGTTCTACAACTACGCGATTAGGGTTTAATTGCCAAGAAACAATTGGCTTATTTCCATAAGAAGATAGGACAAATAAATTTTGAGGTAAACTTATTCTTCTCTACTCTTCGATTTATGGGGTCGATCGATGTTGCTTCTGGGCGATTCGTATCTTTTTATGAAGTGTTCGATGAAATTGGAGCGGAGATTTTTAATTTGTAAAGCTATTCGTTAAATGACAGAAATTACGGTGCACGTGTAATTTAATAAAAGTCTAAATCCTTTAAATTTTCTTTGAATTACGCTGTGAATTTTGTAGACAGCCGCATGGATAAAGAGGGCAAACTTTTTAATATATCGATAAGATGTTTAAGGAGCTGTCTAAATACTCGCCTAGAGGAAGTTTCGCAGAGTCGAAATAAAATTTCCACGGCGGAGACGAATTTCGATTGCCAATCGATTTAATGAAGCTCGTGAACGAGGTCATGGCTGTGTAACGCGATGCATTTTACGTTTTGACGATTTTAACGGCTCCGTTTTAGCGAAAGCTCGAATCGCGCTTTAATATCGTGCTAGAAATCTCGAAAACAAGTTCCCGAGCATCGTTGCGCCTGCTTCTTTCCTTTTAAACCGAATCGAGGCTGAGAAAACACAGGATGTTCTGTTCCATATTTTCACCACTTCCGTTCCCTTCTTTCTCGAATCTGTGACACAAGCTTACACCGGATGCAGTAACCAGGAAATTTGCGAAATTATGGTGTGCGAAAGTTCGAAAGTCGAGTCTCCTTTCATACCTACAAATTATCTTCGTAATTCAGAATTTTAATAATAATATGAAAATGAAGGATTTGACAAAATCGAAATTTTGATAATGGTTCATTGCTGTTTTTCACGAAATTGTGTTTTACGATTATTCTTACAAGAAATTCATTGTATTAGGCTGCTTCAAAAGTTTCTTTCGTTTTACAAAGAAACAATAGATGCACAACATTTTTTGTTTTATATTATTTTATTGAATTACGTATGATCCATTTTGTTCCAATAGAATCAATAGAACTTGAAGGAACGACCTTTTCGCACGACCTAATATTTTTTCAAGTCACGAAAACAATTATAACAAACAGTTAGATTATAATTTAATTAATTATGAAGCTAAAGAGATAATACTTATAAATAGGCTGCGGGTTTCAATAGATGGAAGAAGTCATCGTTGTGTATATAAAAATGTCTGCTTATAAGAATTTGTAGCGGCACATGAGCTAGAGGACGATTCGAGTCATGTTGTTGTTTTGCCTCGGAGTATCAATATCGTTAGGAAACACGCAATGTAATAATAAATGAACTCCGGGAAAAACAATGTCGCCGCTACGTGCAACCGTCGAACGAATACAAATTTGAATTTTCCGACTCTTCCCAGGCCAGTATAAATAAACGGACGCGATCGTAAGGAAGTCAGTTATCTAGCAGTTATCGATCAGTTATCGACGAGTATCTACAAGTATCTACGGGTATCTATCGAATATCCATTAGCGATCTAATCAGTGATTACACACTGTGATTAACGAATTCTTTAGTACGAGCGTCTTCACGACATTAGCTGTATTTATTAATTTATTTATTATCTCAAATACCAATTTTCTAATAGCAAATTTCTAACTACCAATCCTCTACAATCCTCTACAAATTTCAATAATACGAGGAGATCTAAATTGTCAAAATTTTCATTTATATCACTATGATTTTCATGTAGCGATTCTGTCGAATGTGTTCGACATCTTCTAATCTTGCGTTATATTTTGCTCCTCGAAGAATATACGTGGACATTGCTTGCAAGTGGAATCTCACGGTGGAGAATAATGTAGGCAATTTACGTTGGAAATATATACACAATGGCCATTATGTGGACGAAATTGCAGGGCGGTTTGTGTGTTTAAAGAGACTGCTAATTGTGGCATTCGTAGCTTCTAAACCGAACTCAGAGCTTTCTGTTGAACCAGTTAAAGAGCCTTTCAGCAAACGAGTTATTTGTTTGTGCAGGTTGCTTTAACAGTTAGTTTCTAACTTCACCGCTGGTTACTCGATCGTCTTACTATTTTTATTTGTCGAAATCTAAAACGATCATGTACGTCAACGTTGAGTTACAAGATAACTTAGGATCATATCATGCTACAATATGATGTACAAAATTTTGCTGTCACCCAATATTCGGGTTTTCCATTATCCTTTGATCGAGTATTAAGCAGCCAACAATGAAACAAAAGTCCTCTATGGAAGCTCGCTATACAGATTAAATATATAAAAAGATATTCATTCTTAGAGATTTTAATGATTTTTCCTACAACATATCGATAAAAGCTACTTGTTACGGTACTATAAAATTTGTCCTATTTCTTGTTACACTGTTTGTTGAACTTTTCTACAAGTTCTATATTTTAGTCATCGATAGTTCCGATCTTAAGAACCAAAGTTTCATATTATAAATCGATTGAACGAAAAAACACCGCGAATGAAATGTCACGCGAACGTTGATTCTCGTCTGGAGCTTAATTCAATTCCAAGATTGATTCGATTGTTTTCTTCCTGCAGGGCAAAGATTATGGCAACGTATCAACGCGGCAGTGTCTAAAACCGTTGACGAGGGAAGCATGCGAAGAAAATCGAGCGAAAGAAGATTTCTCGACACGGAAAGGGCGGATTCTCAAGGGATTTCGTTAGAAAGAGTACTGTTGCAAATCGTCAGTACAACTGAGCAAAGTGCTTAAAAGCGTGCACGATGGAAAACGTGCTGATGAGCGATAGACAAGTGGACGCAACCTTTCAAGTGTCGTTGTCAAGAAGTTAATCGTCGCCATGTCGAACCAGACAAATACCACCGATTTTATCGATTACGATCTCAATGAGTCGTTCAGTCACTTCGACTGGGAGGAACTGGCACCCGTTCTCGTCGTCTATTCCCTCACGTTTTTCCTCGGATTAGTCGGTGAGTGAGATGGTACTTTGTCTCGCGGAAAAACCGTCTCGCGGTCTTGTTTCTTTATCCTCTGTTAAGTCGGCTCCAGAAAATCGATCCTTCCCCTTTCTAATAGTCAAATACCATCTTCCGAAGTACCTGGCGAAGAAGGAAACAGGAAAATTGTGAAAAAGATAGCGATATTAAATAAAATATGAAGAAAAGTAGAAATAACAATAAAATGTTTCCAAAATGGATCTAGTGTTTTAGAGTCGTTGAAACATTCGCAACGTTATCATCATTAGTATATAGATACCGGGTTGCCTGGTTTAGCTAGAAAAAATGTTGTTCAATGCGACGACACGATGATTAATTTTATCATCCACTTCCTATTTTGTCACTGCTGTCCACGTGACAGTTATTAGATAGAAACGTACGCCGTGTTATATCATTCAAAGAATTTATCTTAACACTTGTGCGTTGCAATTTTGTACAGTGATGTACAAATATATTTACATAAATTTTGTAAACGTATAAAATTCGCAATTTCTTTCTGCGAAATGTCGCTTTCGCGGAAAAATCGCGGACAAAGAACAGCTAAAAATAGTAAATAGGTATTTCTTAGCTGCGGTAACTCAAGTTTAAGGGATGAAACTTTGACTCGAAGAGCAGCTAAAAATAGTAGATACGTATTTGTATTAAAGTAAAAAAATTAAAATAAAGTAAAATTGTAAAAATTAGTCGACTTCGCCACTGTTTTTCGGTGGAAACTGCTTAGCTTTAGGTAACCTGTTAATTATCTACTTTTGATGAGAACGGTGCAATAAATGGTTTTATTTCAGGAAATGTCGTCATCATCGGTTCGACGCTGTGCCCGAGACTTAGACCTCTACCATCCACACCGACTAATGTCTTCCTGGGTGGCTTGGCAACGGCCGATCTCCTCCTCATACTCTTCTGCATTCCCGTAAAGGTGAGTCCCTTTATCGAATATTCAGTTGACAATTCTAATTCAACAGCACACAAAACGGTGGAGGAGGATTTTTATAAAACTTAAAAACGTGTAATTTTATTTTATCAAGAATCCTAACTCAACAAGTAGACGATAGACAGCAGTTTGTATAGTAAACAGGATTTTGCTGGTAACTGCGATCTACAGAACTGTCACACGTTACCAAGTAATGTTCAATTTTATCGTCTCATGATTTGATCATGTTGTTTTATCAACGACGATTTTGTTATATTTTGAAGAATTTAATTCTATAATAGAATCACAACGTGCAATGTAAACGCGTGATAATCCCTGACCGAATATTAGAACAGATATTCATCGAGGTTCCCCGAAACGTGGAATTGCGGTCGGTAGTTTATTAGTTCGTATCAGAAACGTGCATTAATTCATGGAATTATCAGGCTGTCGTTGCTGATATTTATCATTTAGCACACGCGTTACGCGAGTTTCCTTTATGATACATTGATTTTGATATATATAATATGCATTGTGCAAAGCATTACACTCGTCATCGAGAAACGCTAACTCTGAGCTTTATTTTACTTCCAAACAAATATTTAAAATTACATTGGATTTCGACGTAGTTTCGCTGCGATCGCGTCAAATTGATTTTCTAACCGCTTCATCCCTTGTTGGGACTCGGTATTCGAAGGAGCTTCTTCTGGAAAGATGCGAGTTACGATATGCAACTGGCGGTAACAGAAGAAAAGGCAAAGCCATAATGTCGTTGACATCGCTAGCTTCGCAAGAACTTTCTTTACGAACCGTCCAATTTCTGTCCGAACTTTCGACGAATGAATATTCCTTTGGAAAATGCATTTCTCCAGGACAAGGATAACTAAGTTAAGTCGGTTGAACGGTGAACATCCACATGCAAGTCGGCGATTGGCACGACGCAATGTAAACCTAACGGCGTTCGATTGTTTCGATCATGTAAAGCGTTGCGCTGTAAACCGTTTATGCTCGATTGTTTTAATTGCAACGTTTGATTCGTCGCAGCATCGCGAATTCCGTTGCAAACATTCCGATTCGGTTTATCGAATAGCGAGTTTTCGACAGTGCAGCTTTTGTCGAGTGTGAATACCAATTATTCTATCTCCTCTTCGAGGTTGATTGCATCCGGAAACTGGGTCTCGAGAAGAAAATTACAGGAAACGGGAATGGAGAATACCTCTTTGACCATTGCTTTTCTATCTCTTTTATTTCTGACGTTATGATTGTTTGAACGGGACTTGCTGTTTGTACACGGGATTGTACACGGGAATTTGCTGTTCTTTCGTCGAAATCGCCGCTAATATTGGCTAATCTTCGTATCTTTAGAATTTTCGAGTAAACGCTTTTGAAATATCGACGATAGCGACAGATGGTAAAATTTCATATCGAGAAGGTGGAAGAAATCGAGACACGTTGTCTGGCCGAGATGGTGCACGATCACGCTGTCAAGAAAGCGCCGCGACGTTCTGGCCCGAATGAAAATAAAATCGAATTGTGCCAAGTTCTAAAATTACGTATCCGAGAAACAGCCCAATGCCGAATACACGGCAAGGTGGTTCGCTCTTCTTTTACATCGTTCGGTTCAATTACGTTTTGTCTTAAGCGACTTTATTCGTCCCTTGCCAACATGTTTAATTGCACCGGGTAGTTCGTACGTTTAGGATTTAACCGATTTTAAACAAACTTGGTCAACTGTGACTAGTCGTATCTTTTCTACTGCTTTAGAGAATACATATTTTTCATTTTTTGCGAAGTAAGTCGATAACGAAAGAAATTGTGGTCTGCGAGAGAGATTATTAACAGACTATCGATGCGTATGCATGTTCATATTTTTATAAACGCTAAAGAAATAGAAAATCTAAATGGAGATATATTTCGTTTCCCAAATTTTATAATGATTAGCGCATTCGAATATCTTATGTGTTTTGGAATATTACACACGTATTTATATTTCAATTTTCCATAACTGCATAAACATCCGTAGTCTAATTATTAACTACCTCTTAAAATAGAAAATTCCTAATGGCTTTTCATCATTGCAATTTACATAATCTCGGCATAAGCTACTCGATGTCTCGTCCTTTTAGGTGAATTTTTAACTATCAGGGATCCAAAAATACCAACGTGGATTTAATTGGAACGATCGCTTATAAGGTACATCGTTTGAAGAATTTCCCCTTTGTCGGTTAAATTTCAGCACGAAAAGTACGTAGATTAATCTTTCCCCGCCGCGAGATCTCGAAAGTAATTTTCCAAAGAAACATTTTGCCAGATCTCGTATTCGACCCTTGCTCGTTTTTCACGCACTCTGCTAATTTCCTTCCGCGAGATAAAAATGATCCCTCGACGATACTTCTATTTGCTCGAGAAGGGAATAGGGTTGCCATGGGAAGAGTCGAAGGGGTCACTAGGAAAAGCAGTAGCAGCCCTTTGAAAACCATCTTATTGCTTTATACGTGGCCATGGTTTAACGCGTTAACTACCGCGCGAATTTTATATATTTTAGGAGCCGCAGATTGAAATATACTACGCCACGGATTTTTATGCAAATCCGCAATTTCACGAAAACATTTAAAACAGTATGACCTAGGGAGAATTTTTTTTCACGTATTAAATATTGCAAAGAGTACTGTACTTTGGATTTTTTATATGTTTTTGCATATCACGCGCCTTCTGTGCATTTTTCTACCTTTGTATTTTTCATAATTGCATAAAAATCCACAGTCTAATTGTAACTATTTAATTTTCGAAAGATATTTTCTTCTGACAATGGTACTTGAATCATTCACATTGTCGAACGTTTTTTAATCCACGAAGTTTATGTTATTTTAATTATCCTAAAAAGTTTAATAACGCGGCTCACCGATAATCACGATTGACTGTGGCAGTCAATGTGTTAATTCGGGTGAGTTAGCGAGTTGAATCGCTGACGTTTCGTTGACAGTGTCTTTCGTGTGATTTATTTCTCTTCGTCGTTCGTTCCAAGGGGACGTGATTTAATCTATTATCGGCTCAATTCGAGCCTCTTAGTGTCAATGATACCATCTTGGAATAAAGACGATAGACACATATTCTTGCTGATGTTTCTTGTCTCCTTGAAGAAGATCCTTGATGAAGATCGAGTAGCACCATTCCCTGTTTAGGGAGAATCTGTTTTTTTCTCATCTAGTTGTTTGAGAATAATCGACTAATCTTCTTAATTCTTCGAAACTATGTAAACATTTTTAATACCATTAAGAACAAAGGGCATATTTAGTACCATGAACATTATCATGTTTCTGTTCCATTATCATCATTTTATTTGTTACAGTTGGAGCGATTGGAAAAGTTTAGTGAAATACTGATCTTTGGTAACATTTTGTTTTATTGTATCATAACGACCGCTGCTTTAAGTAATTCGATGATTTATTTCGATAGTCATTATTCAGCAATCAGGTTTTATTGCAATTACACTGCAAATGAAATTTCATTGCACAGAAATTGTTGAATTTAGTCGGAATGCGATCAATTCGAACACTACAATGTGTAACAAATAGGTCTCTAAAATACTAAATAGAACTACCCATTCGTTTACTGACCTCTGGAGATCATAAACCTTTTTGCTTTTCTTATTTGATCGTCAGTTTTGTTTGAATAGAAAATTAGAATCTCTCTCGTTGATTTATGTTTTCGAAATGAAAGTAATGTTTGTTTGTTGTTGCTGCTCGTGAAATATCCACCGGATGCAAGACGAACCTTTGAAGATGTTAATAGCTGACTCCTTCAATCGTTGTTTATCGCTCGAAATGAAGTCGCGGTGTTGTCGGGACCTTATTAAGAAAATATATTAAAAAAGTAGGATGTAAACTGTCCCAGATGGGACTCCGGTATCTTCGTCAAAGTCAATTATTTGACATTTTCGTGAAAAACGTTTCCTCTCGTTGCGTTACTTTCTAAATATCACGTAAATCACACGTTCGTCCCTGTGTATATTAATAATTTATTCCGCGACGTGGACTTCGGTTTATGGTTATTTCGTATCATCATCAACTTCCTATTATTGTATAATTTATTATCACACGTGATTTTACGATTGCGCATGAATTAATTAAGTTTGCATAATGTTACTGCGTACCGCGTTTTTTCCCACTAGTCTGCGTACATCTAGAAAGAAATGTTCATTACGATTCATATCTTTTTTTTCTAAGTTACAGTGATCGATCGCGTCAATTGTAAGATTTTATGTTAATAATCTCACAGTTAAACATCACCTTCGCGATAACGACATGTTCTCAATTTATTGCTCGTTTACAATTAGCGTACGCCATTAACTCTTAACATCGCTATGGAATAAAAACATCGGTTACGAATAAAAATTCCAAGGGTTTGTTTAATAATATTTCTATCGCTATCTACGCTGAGATCGAACAAGCTAAATTATTCGTAGCACTATCGATATCACTATGTTGGTTTCTCGGGGGCGAACGTGTTTGCACTTTGCAGTCTATTTCTTTAGGGAAAGCCTGAAACTAGTCTACCCCGAAGAAGTAGACTGTAACGTCTACGAAAAACGTTGCTGCAAAATGCAAGTGCAAAGTGCAAAGTGCAAAGTGTAAAGTGCAAACACGGTTGCTCCCAAGAAACCACCGATATCGTGGCATATCGTGAAAATGTAAAATATAATATTCTCTTATAGATTTACGAAACAGTCTGGAAGTTAATTCACCATGAGTGGACTACATTTTCCATGAATTTCACGGCTTACTTGGCTGCTAATTCTTAACGGGTTAATCGAATCTAATTATCTTCATATTATCCTTGCACTTTTAAGTAAGTAAAAAAAAAAAGAAAAAAAAAATAGGATTTTACGTCGAAGAAACTAAGCAGGTTACGGTGTGCTCGTTATTAATTCATCGCCCGAAGGTGCGTTTCTTGGTTACGCTGAACCATGGAAAGCAACGCGTTCAATCATTATTATCTATCGCGAC